GGGACCCCCCCCCCCTTCACAGCAGGAAAGCAGGAGGACTTCCATCCCTGGCTCCCAGGCAGAGCTGCTCCAGGAATGCAGGCCCCAAGGCCACGCCCCTTTAACCCCAAAGTCTCTGGACCACAATTACCCCTCACAAAGGCAGTGAGAGCTTCTGGATCTTAACTCTGAGATCAGACCCTCCAGCGCCTTCCCCGAAGCCCACTGCTTCTGCCTCAAGGCCCTGCAGCCTCCGTCTCTCTGCCCCTCCAGCTCTGCAGACACCTTGCTCTTCCTGTACCTACAGCTTGGGGTCCCCGTCCATACAAAGGTGGGGCTCCCACAGCTCCCCAAGCTCTCCCCGTCCTCTCTGACCCTGCCTGTCCCTCACCTTCAGACACACCTATCAGAACGCAGTGTTACTGTTGGGTTGTCGTCAGACTGCAGCTCTGCTGTGTCTCGGTTCCCACCTGTACAGCGAGGCCGCAGCCCCACCTTCCAGGGAACCAGAGTGAGGGCCAGGCACAGGCGGGTGTTACAATCACATTAGACAGATCAGAACGCTGGGCAGCACCCGGGGGTGGGGACAGGACGGGGCTGCAGAGGGATCCGACACAAAAGCACTTGGGTTTGCAAAGACAGTGGGACAGGGAAATGGGGTGAGGAAGAGGCTCCTTCCTGAGGCCTCGTGTGGCAGCCGCTGGGGAGCCTTCACGGGCTCCTAGAATGACAGCCGGGCCCAGGGGAGCAGCCGTCACTGAGGGGCACACACAGGCCCCCTGGTTCCCCCCTGAGGAGCTCAGGATAAACAGCTTCACAACACACTGTCCTGGTGTCTGGGCGTCACCAGCCCCGGCCGACGTCCTAGAAACACACTCCACACACGCTGCACCCGGTGCCGACACAACAGCGGGCCAGGCTGTCACGCAGACGCGGGCCGTGCGGGTCCTGCAGGCTTCCCCACTCGGCCCCAAATAAGGAGCTGCCCCTGCGCCCAGCAGACTTGTTCCCTAACAAGGAGCGGCCGCCGCACTGCCCAGCCCACAGCCCACAGAGACACCTGCCAGAGCGTGGGCACGCCCGGGGGCAGCACACCGCCCTCAGCAGCACAGGGCTTCCTGGGCTTTCCCGGCACGTTCCCTGCGAGGAGGAGGAGGAAGGTGGCAGGTGCCACGATGCCTGGCACACACTGTCCCTGCGTCTCCCATGTACACACACACAGAGGCTCTCATAGCCTCACACACACACACAGAGGCACAGGCTCTCACAGTCACAGTCACACACACACAGACACACACAGGCACAGGCCCTCACAGGCGCGTGCACACACACACAGACACGCACTCACAGTCACACAGGCTCTCACAGACTCACAGTCACACACACACATACACACACACACACAGGCACAGACTCAGTCTCACACACACACAGGCTCACACACACACACACATGCGTGAAGCTGCACACAATTTAAGGTTCCTGTCCACAGTTGCATGGCCATTTGGGAGCTTTTTCTTTGGAAAACACGGTGCTGACCCATAAAACACAGGAAAGGGAACAACTAAATTTAGCCCGGAGCCTGAGAAAAGGGCTGGAGAGGCAGCAGGACAGAACGCCCCCTCCGCCCCTGCGGCTGACACTGCGGGTTAAGGGCTCAGGTACAGGAGCCGCGCACGTGGGGACCGGCTGACACAGGGCCACGTGCACGGAGGACCGTCCCTGGCACAGCAGCCACGGGCCTCTGCAGGTTCCGTCTTCCTGCCCGACTCCCTCGTGCCCTGACAGCCTGTGTTCAGCCCACCCCAGACACCCAGACACGAGACCAACCGCTTACTCGGAGCGTCTTGGCAGTCGGGGAGGGAGTGGCGGGGGGCGAGTCCGACGCAGACTTCCTGCTCCGAGGGAACTCCTTGCTGCGGGTGTACAGAGAGGACATGGCTGCGCTGAGCAGCGGGGCTCAGCGGGGATGCGGCCGCCCGGAGTCCAGCCTGCAGCTCTGGGCCGCCGCGGAGCGGGCGTGAGGCGTGTCCCTCCAAACGTCTAGCCGGCCGTGGACAGCAGTCCCGCCGGGGGTGGCGGGGAGCCTCGCTGCGTGGCCTGGGCCGAGTCCTGGGTTCTCCACAAGCTCCCTCTTCCCGAGGCCTCCTCCCCGACAGGAGAGGCGATCCTGAGGCAGGACGCCCCGGGGCCTGCAGCGACAGGAAGGCCAGCTCACGGCCGGAGGGAAGGCAGGAGCCCCTGCCAACTCGGTCGCCCAGGCTGGCTCCACGCGGGGCGAAGCCACGGGCTGTGATCACTCAGGTCCAGCAAGTCAGGAGTTTGTGAGAAGCAGCAGTTGGAGGAGCTGGGCTCCCGTCCTCCAACATATAAACACTCAGCCACATCCCTCCTCTCCTCTCTGACGTTCCACAGCCGATTCGCTCAGCCAGGAATGCTGGAGCCGGGCCAGGGGCAGGATCGCTTCCAGCCCACGCGGCCGCCACTTGTCGGGGGAGCCGGCGCAGCTTCTAGGAACTGGGGGCTCGGGGTGCACGCGCAGACCCCTGCCCACAGCG